TGCTTTGCCCCACTGGGCGGAAACCGCAAGGAGATGTGTTAAGCACAGCCTTCTCGAAAGGCCGGGTCCAAAAGGCTTGTCTCCCCTACAAGCACAAGGCTTGTGTGGGTCGCGCATGGGACGTTTCAGTACGTTCTGCGTTTCGAAAGTCGAAAGCGTCCTTCCCACCCTCTTGCTTTCAGTGTCTGTATTTCGCGCGGAAAAGTTGTTTTGATCCAGATTTTTTTTGATGTGCCTTCCTTCCTTCTTTCCTTCCCAGACGCTTGCCTTTTCTGGTCATACTTCCAGCGGGAATTTTTGTTCATCCAACATGTTTTTGATCCAGAAAAAGGTTTTTTGATCCGGAAAAATTTGATACGCATCCCGCATTTTGCTCCGTGTAGAAGCTACACATCATGTAAATGAGTGCAAACACTGCAATTTGCAGCATGTTGGCTTGCGTAGAGGCTGCACACATCGTAAGTTACAGCCTTGGGTGCTCATCTAGAGCTTACAGATACTGTAAATTGTAGCATTGGGAGCTCATCTAGAGCTTGTAGGGTAAGTGTAGTTTTTGGTCTGGTCTTGTTTTGTTGTTTGAGCGGTCCTTGTGTGTTTTTGCTGTTTGGGCGGGTGCGTGTGTTTTTTGCTGTTTGGGCGGAGCCGTTCTTTTTGTCCCGTTTGGGCGGGGGCCTTTTTTTGCTGTTTGGGCGAAGGTTGTTTTTTGGACTGCTTGGGCGGTAGCATTTCTTGCTGTTTAGGCACCCCAGCCACGCCCCCGCCCAAACTAAAAAGCAGAAAAACACGCCTGCCCCAAATAGCCAAAAAAAAGAAACACACGCACCGCCCCCTTCCCCCCTTCCCCGACCCCTCCTTCTGAGCACGACGCCTATCAGAGAGCACAATTTCGAGGCAAAATGTGAAGGGGCTCCACAGGAGAGCTCGACGCACAGGAAGATTAAGCCACTGAATGCAACTTCGAAGAAGATGCCAGCCGCGATCGCCATGAGCTCTGCCCAACCCGTCATTCAAAAAGGCACTGTACAAATCTCATCCGTGTTCCGAATGGCATGCTCAACACCATTGCTACTAGGGGATTAAGAATATGTGAAACTAAAAGTAACAATTATTGAGTCAATAAGCGTAAAAAGAACAATAATGATATTAATGATGATAGTATTCCTATGAATCATCGTCAGAATGACAATAAGAATAAGAATCCTAGTAGTAGCAATAACAATACACATAATAATATTCGCATTACAAAATAGCAAGGTGGGGGGGGGTTCGGGGGTGGGCGCGGCCCCCCCACTTGCAAAACATGGACGAAGATCAGAACATGTGCCTTCTTGCACACCTTTCACGCGTCTTTAAGCATTGCGGCGGCAGCGGGGTTGGGACGGGGGCAGCGCCCCCCGATTGGCTTTCAAACAGCCAAAAAAAAACGTCGCCCCCTTTCCTCGCACCAGCAACGGAAAAAAGCCACCCGCCACCCCCGCGAGAAAGCATAATATCGACACAAAATGAAAGGACGCTCCACACGAATAATAGTACTCTAGATATTGACAGTGATACTAATACTATGACAATTAAAACTTCATAATACTCAAAGGAATAAGAAACTGGTAGAGTGACAGCAACAATAGCAACACTCGTACCGATAGTAATCACGGCAATCATTGTAATAAGAATAAGAATATATAATGAAAATATGACTTGTATTTATAACATTCGCACTACAAAATAGTGGGGGGGTTGGAGGGTGCGTAGGCCCCCAACGAAGATCAGAACAGGTACGTTCTTGCACACCTGTCACGCGATCTTTAAGCATTGCTTCGGCAGGGGGGTCAGGGAGAGTGCAATGCCCCCCGATTTGCTCTCAAACACTCAAACAAACGTCGCCCCTTTCCTCGCCTAAACAAAAAAAAACACCCGAGAGAAAGCATAGTTTCGAGGCAAAATATAAGGACGTTCCACACGAGAGCTCGAATAATAGTGATCCGAATATTGATAGTGATACTCATGCTTTAATAGTAGTAATATTCAATAGAATTAGAAAACTGGTAGTAACAATCGTATGAACAATAACAGTGACAATAACAATAGTAATACTTGTAATGGTAGTGATCACCGTAACCATCGCAATCAGAATAAGAATATATAATTAGAATAGTAATTGTATTTAGAATATTCGCATTACAAAATAGCAGGGGGATTGGAGGGGGCGTAGGCCCCCCCACTTGCAAAACATGGACGAAGATCAGAACATGTACGTTCTCGCGAGAGCTCATTTAGGAGACTATGTAACGACGCTCCACGCAAGAGCACCATCATGCGAAAAAATCTGCGCGTCCCACACCAGAGCCCTTGATCCGTAGAAATGCGCAGCCAGCGGCGTGCTTATTTTGCTGCTAGGGCAGGGAGCGAGGGGTGTTGTTGTTTACCGTTTCGATGGGTGGGGGGGGCCTGTTTTTTCTTTTTGCTGTTTGGGCGAGAGCATCTGTGTTTTTGTTGTTTGGGCGGGCCGCGGAGGGCACGTTTCTTGTTCTGTTTGGGCGAGGGGCTTGTTGTTTCTGGTTTGCCGGGCCGGGGAGGGGGCGTGTGCTTTTGCTGTTCGGGCGGGGGACGGGGCTTCACTCAATTACCGGCCTGCCTGGGTTGTGCTTGGGAGGCCCAACGATAAAAAAGAACAACAGCAAAACAAATATTTACGAGCTGTCAGTTACAGGATTTGAAACTGTTTAGAATGTGCAGATACTGGAAGCCACAGCATTTGGAACTTAAGAGGCGCACCAGCTCTGAATTTTCCAGAGCTTGCCGATTGATGTTGTAAATTACAGCATTCGAAGATTTGCAAAGAACGTCGGCACTGCGACTTTCAGCTTTTCGAAAAGTTGCACTGCTTGCGCAGTTGCAGCCCCCCCCCCTGCAAACAGTATGATCCCATATCCCATACGGCAAACTTGGGACATGGTTTTTCAGACCGTAAGCATGGATGGCTTAAAGAACGGTGGATTGAGGGCGCCCACTGATTTGCAAACAAAACTATCGGCACAACCTTCCCCTACGGCAAACATGGTGATGGCTTATGACTTGTTGTTTTACTGTAAGAAGGGAAGGTTGTTCAAAAGGGGGGGGTTGCGCAGCCCCCACAAGAGCTTTGAGTTTGCCGGCCAACATCTCCGGGGCTTGCGAGCCAACATCCCTTTTCAGAGCTCAAGGTCTGCCAGCCAACTTTTTCTCGTAGAGCTCAGCTTTTGCCAGAGTGCAAAAGACGACAGTGGCAGGGATTCCGACCCCGACCCCAGCAATCCCTGTGACATTTGAATGTTCCAAACTCCAAGATGCTCCAAGGGTCTAAAAGAGGCTTCCGAGGATCGCAAGCCCGAAAACCCTCACGTAGGTCCTTCCCTTAAAGCCTCAGCCCTCGCGATCCCTGTGACGATTGACACTTTCCAAAGTCCAAGAGGATCCGAGGGTCTGAAAGCGACAACACCTGCGAGGATCGTGACCCCGACCCCCATGATCCCTGTGACTGCCCACATGTGGCTACTAGAATTAAGTATTTTTTGATTATGAGTCTCTTTGTTGACTTGTCCTTGCTTTTAGGTCGTACATACTCTTATTATAAGCATCCCAGAGAACAGCCTACTACCCTTGAAAGATAATTGATGCGCATCTGGGTCGCCCCCTATCTCTCACTCTTGCCCCTATAAAGATTAGAAGCTACACAGACCACCACGGTCGACAGAACACCTGTGCAACAACTCAACAGCGCAAGGTCTGAATGACCTCCGGAACTTCTGAAGTCCCCAGAACCCTTTCAAGGGCTGCGGAGGATCTTCAGTCCCAGCCAGGTTCTTTCTGGATGTAATATGAGTACCGACCGATCAACGTGAAACATGCACCACTTACGCAACTCCTTCTTCGGAGGAGGGGTCACGGGGACTCAGCTGGCGTCCAGTCGTTTGCGTGCAGCACATCATGACAACCTGTTGTATCTCTCTAGTCTCACTGCATAAACGAATCATAAGCGCATATGAATTACAACATCCGCATCATTACACATTCGGAAGAAGAACACAAGACTGAGGCCAGGGGGCCTCTGCCCAGTAAAACTTTAAACACAAAAGCTGTACCTTATCCTCCTTATCCATCACTGGGTACATGCGGGCACGTGAAGCCGCTTTAGCCTCCTTTATACACCTCGTGCACATGCAATGTGCATTGACCCAGAAAATGGCCAATTGCGAGAGCTGTTGAGATTGATTGCCACACTGTCAGCTTCCAAAGTTGCAATGCAAAATACTGCAAACGTGTCGCAGGCATTTTTCGTCGCAAACGTTAAAGCGCTCAAGCTTGGGCTTTCCTTCCGCCATCTTCCGCCAGCGATGCCTTTGCCGCTGCTTGCCCTGCCGTTAGCTGCAGCAACCGACCCTGTGTCTTTCAAAACGTTGATCTGGCAAAGTGCATGCAGTCACTTTGAACAAGTCAGATGCAGCTGCCACGTACACAGTGGGCAGGGAGCATACCTCTAGCCGCCGTGCAAACAACGCGGACGACACGAAGCCTTGGTGCTGCGAGAAATGACATGTGCTTGTAAGTATGTCTCTTGATGTTAAATTCAAATGAGTGACTATACGCACATGTCTAGCATTCCGCCGCCGGAACCCAGTTATGACTATACCCTAGATTAGGATATTCCAGGAAAACAGACAATGATTTCAAACAGATTGTAACTGATTCGATCAAATAGATTTTCAAACCTACATTTCTGGCATCATTGTCCCGGGACCACAAATCAATTGGGGGCTTTATTATTAGCGCAAAGCCAACTAGATGCTCCGAGGAACCAGGAAATCACGGGTACAGGTGTGCGTCGACGAAGCCTTAGCGCCAGTACCAAATGGCACATTTCAACCAACCTCGATGCACAGAGCTGGCAACAGACGAGCGAAGTCTAAGATGGCCGCGCAAAGCGGCCAGTGTTTTCAACACATCGGCTTCCTCGCGACCGAATCGATGCCTCGTCTAGATCCGGTCTATTCAATTCTGTTCATGCTTTTGAGGTTTCACGAGCACGAAGATGATTTGGGCCAGCGGCTGTGCCTTTGGCATCGAGCTGAAACCGTCCTAGACAAGGATTTGCTTCCAATCCAAGACTCAATTTGCTTGGGAAATTGTCTCGCTCCTGCTTTGGTGCCGGTTTGGCTTGGTTGACCGCAGCTGCCATCTGCAATGACTCAGGTCAGAAAAACAAACACGCCTGTGCCGCTTCTGCAAGATCCACCCCGGCAAATCATCCCTTACATGCCGTGTTTCCGTTCGTTCTCAGGGAAGACTGGCACGTTGTCATTCAAAACGTAATGCAATTCGTGGTGCTTGCAAATCTCCTACTGGCTAATTCGTCGAGTTTGGGAAGGCTGGCGGCCATTCAATGATGAATTTTCGGGACGCTGGACGTCATGATGACCCTGCTGCCATGCGCCAAAATTTATGACATTCGGAACAGGTAAAGGCAGCAATGCAAGATTTGAAGCCCATCTCTTGCCTCTTGCGACACGTGCAAACCAAACGCTATGCAATGCTGTGCGCACCTGCCTTGGCAAGCGCACTCTCTAGAAATCACCATCGAATAAATTGCTGAACAATGAATCACGGGCCAGATACATGCACAACGGTCGTGCCTGCGACTGTGTCCTCGAAAGCTCCGCTTGCTCGCAGAGCATAGTAGCATGGCGCTCTCTCAGCGCAGCTGTCTGCATTTGTAATTCTGAGAACTCCCGCGTGAGGTCGTCCCTGCTCCGGACGCTTGATTCCTCGGGCATGCGACCCATCAAAGCCAATCAACGCAACTGTGCTCCCACTCTACATAAGAACTCCTTGAAGTTGCATTGCGAACAGTTCGTTGCGTGGTGGCCAAGAAAAGTAACCACCGCTGTGGCCGCATGCCAATTTTTTCATCCAAAAATAATGACGATCGCAACTATTTTCCCAACCAGGGGAGGCCTGTCCCATATGAAGGCTTTTCAATTCCGACACCTGCGGCTCCAAGCTCGTTGAATGACGCCAAATTGCAATGCTGACCCGATCATGGGCCTCCGCTTTCCACTGCTGAGCATCGTTCGCTTCTTTCTTGATAAATTCAAGCTCCGCCTTGACTACACTGAGCTCCTGCCACAACATCCAGAACAGGCACATTGAATCTTCCTAGCCTGCCCAAGTTGAATAGCCTTGACGGACTGCAGGATCTGCTTTGTGCCACCATATGGCAGCATTTGACGCTGCAGTTCTTCCAGCTCAGCTTCCTGCTTCAACAATCGAAATTCAACGCACAGTTGTGCCTTGTTTCTTATGCTGCAACCTTCTCGTTCACTGCTTCATGCAGCGAGGACATCTCCTGCCATGAGTCAACATCAACCCCAGGCCGCAACGCAAGTGGAAATTCTGTCAGAACGACATCCTGCTTGTGCTTGCGAACGTCACTTTGCATTTCTTCCACGAGGCGCCTGCCACCGATGACATCACCGTGCAATGAGTTGCAACTTGATCCCTGCAACGACCTATTTGGTGAGCAAGGGTATGCAAAACAGACGAAGGCCACTTATGCTGTCGGCAAATATCCGTGATATTGTTTAAGAGGCTCTAGATTGGGCGTGCAGTGAGTGGACTCCAGAGATCCTGTCCCGAGATTCTCCCAGCAAGAACCAAACAACGTGGAAAGTTTTGGCTCGATAGCCGAGGAGGTAGGGCAGCCGAGGCAAGCAAATGGAGCCGCGGGGTAATGATGCGGTGGCACCAAGCATTCCCGAGGCTCTGGACAGAGTCACCTGAATGAATAGCGCTGGGCAGCCCGGCATCTTCCACACGGTGCAAAAGCGACAGCCTGAGCAAAGGACGCTGGATAACTGGCAGACGGGCATTTTTTGAATGAACCATACGGAAGGCCCACCCCGGCGATAACACTCACTCACTCACTCAAAGCCTCGTGTTCGGTGACACATGGGCATGAATGGCACCAGCTGTCAGGCACCAAAACAGAAAATAGAAACCTTTCGTTTCCACTCAGAGGATGGGAGTGACCACAACACATCTAACGCATCACGGCCCCCAGCAATCTCCAGAGCAACCCTTTATACATCATCGTTCCAACATTTCCTCGGGCGTCCACGTTTTCGCGGGCCCCTGAGCTCTTTCAAGCTGTTGGAACCTTCTTCAAAAACACAATTGCGCATAAAATGTCCAAATGGTTGGTCTGCCACCTTTCCGGCGATAACAGCATGAAAAAAAATGCGTAGTGACAAATGAAAAGCAATGATGTTTCACGTTGCTGAGCCTCAAAAGCATTCGGGATGCCAGACTGCGAACACGCCCGGGCGACCCGGCTGAGTACTGCTGCTAGGAAAATAGGCAGCGCAGAGGACCCGCCCCGCAGCAAGGGAGTGCTGAGGCAGAAAAAAAAATTATGAAAGGGCCCGAAGGTCAGGGCACGGCCACGGCGCAAGCATAGACAGAGCGGACGAACTTTCCACGAGGGCTCCGCTGCCATATGGCCCGTTTTTTTGAAAGAACACAATGAAACGCCAACGCAACAACATCATCCAACACAGGATAACAGCATGCAGAAAACGGCATTTCTTCCCCCTACGTGGTTTAACAATTTCCTTGAGCCGGGAGGCCTTAGCAGCAAGAACGCTGGCAGGTACATCTCTTTGCCGCGGGTTGCTGTAAGCCAGACATTGGTTTTATGGGCAGGATTCTCGTCGACCATTCTGGGGTGGTTGCCTAGCAAAACCACCCAGCCGACACAGGGACCAGGAGTGATCCTGCACCACTGCCGACAGGATGGGCTTGGGCGCGCTCCCAGGTCCGTTGGGGTACGCTGTTGACTGGGTGTCCATTGCTTTCTGGGCTTTCTTTTTTCCCGCAAAAAAAAACCCTGCCTACAACCGTCAAACACAAATGCCAAACCATACTAAATCCTAAATATCACAATCCCAAAATTTTCCCATTGATGTATAAAAATTGAAAATTGGAAAAACAAGTACGGAATATTTAAATGGCAAAAAGCTCCATGGAAGCCAGCTGAACAACATCCGTGCCATCAGAACAACGGATAATCATTGGTACCCGAGCATACGGATACCGACAGACCATCCAGGCTGGCCAAGAAACAAAAAAGCAGCGTTACAAGAGTATGCTTTGGCATTCGTGTTTGACGGGTTTTAAGGTTCCTTTCTTGAGAAAAACCCAGGCCCAGAGAACAACGGACACCCAGGAAACAGCGGACCCCAACGGACCTGGGAGCAGGCCCGGGCCCATCTTGTCTGCCAGGCGCGAAAAAAAATTGGCATGGTTGTCGATTTGTGCGTATCATCCTTGTGCTGGGGCAACGCTGATGTTCTCAGTGTCGTTCGAATTTTGTCGGATCCCGACGGGAATCCGGTTTGATGCTTTTTCGGGGGCCTTACTAAATTCGCTAACGGCCAAACCTCGCCGAATCCGCCGGATGTTTTGCAGCCTCCGAATTTGAGTGCCGGCAAACCTGCCAGCCCGCTTAGCTCTGACGTGCGGGCTTGTGGGGCGGGCCGGGAAGCTGCCAGCTTTTCTGCAAGGCCTTGCAGGGAGCACGGAGGGCGCGTGCCAGTTACAGGGCGTGTGACCGACGCGTGAACGACCAGTGAAAGAACCGGGAAACACACCTGAAAATGCAACAACGATTTTCAGGAAATTTGGGAACGCTGCCCCCATTTTTTTTGTGTTTTGGTTTGCGTGTTCTGGTTTGGGCAAGCCGGCTAGCCCGGGCTGGAGGTCCACATCCCCACACCGGCCTCTGCTGCGCCTTTTCTAGCTTCGGAGCCTCTTCCCAACTTTTTTTGGGCCTCAGGGCCTCTTCTGGGCTTTTTGCGGGCGTTTTGAGGGCTTCTGGGCCTCTTCTTAACCTTTTCTTGGGCCTTTTCTGAGCCTTTTTTAGGCTTCTGTTTTTTTCTCAACCTTTTCTGGGCCTCGGGGCCTCTCCAGCCTTTTCTGGGCCTAGCCTTTTCTTCGGCCTCGGGGCCTCTTCTAGGCTCTTTGTGGGCTTCTGAGTCTCTTCCCAGCTATTGGGCCTCGGGGCTGGTGCCTTTGCTCGGGCCTCTTCGGGGTTTTTTCCCAGGCGCTTCCCAGCCTTTTCTGGGCCTCGGGGCCTCTTCTGGACGTTTTCTAGGCTTCTGGACCTCTTCCCAGCCTTTTCTGGGGCTCGGGGCCTCTGCTAGGCCTTTTCCAGGGCCTCGGGGATT